TGGAAGCCCCAAACCCAACCCCAACCCCAACCCCAACCCCAATTTTGGTACGAACAGCAAACCCACACCTTATCTCTTCTCTTATTGGTCAACAATTGGTTACCAAATTATTGGTACCTATCACCCAATCTTCATGTTGATCCCAAGACATAATTTGATGTTTATGAAAAAGATATGATTAAGCTTATTTATAATCCTAATCTCGAAAGGAAGCAGCTTTTAAACTCTGAAATCAATTCTAAGCATTATAATTAAAATAGGGTATTATTTTGGTAAATGATATGATATTATTATTACTTGGTGCTTTAACACATTTTTCGAATACAAAATATTTAGACATTATAAGGTTATGTTACAAGTATTGGTAATATAAAATGTTACAATAAAATATAAATTCAAGCGACCCTCTTTATATTATGGATGTGAAGTTAATAGTTGTTAAAAATATGGAAATTTCATCTCCTAATTCTTCTTGTTTAGTATAAATTTTTGTTTGAAGTAAATCCTAATAATAGCCAAGTTGAATTTTACTCCCAAAATGAATTTAATTATAAGCTTTTCAAATTTAAAAAAAATAAAAAATAATGAATCGGAATAATTCAATATTTATATATATTGGTTTATTTTTCTTTTTTATATAATTCGAATATAAGTTGATAGTTGATGAAATATTAGATGATGTGAGGTACAAGTTAACGTATATTTAATTTTATCCTTTTATTAAATAATAATTATAAAAATTTAATTTTATTCGAAAAAGAACCATCTCCCTCTATGGATCCATAGATTATATATAATAATCAAATGTTCAGCCAAATCCAGTTATTGAGGATTTTGCATACTTATATAGTTTTAATCGAAATAATATGATATCTATTTAAGTTAAAATAATTGAGTGAGATTTATATTTCACAATTATTTTTTTCAATATATCTGACTTAAGAACAAGTAAAACAAATGGAAGCAGCATAGAATTTTAGTTTTTCTCCATTTTTTTACAGCTAATTTATGGTATTTTGAATAAATTTAAATTGCTCCTCCTAATTAAAACCAATAATTAATTTGTTCCCCCCAACCTTTTTTTCCTCCTTCCCAATCACTTTTGCTTTTTACTT